TCAATACCGCAACAGAGCTGAACTGGCGACATTTTCGATGGGCCTCACATCAGCTGAGCAAGCAAACCAGTCGGGTAAAACCTGCCACTGGTCGGGCCCGTCCACGCAGAATTCGAACTCCGCAGTTCATCAAAGCTGAATTCAGCGAAATCCGCACCGGGAACAGGATATCATGGCCCGAGAGAAGACATTCGTTGACCGCAGCTTTGAAAAAATACATATAATGACAAAATGCAAACGTCTTTTGGTAGGTGAGACACGCTGATAACTGGCACCGGAATATTTACCGATGAACAAATATTCAACGTACAGGAAAAACTTCATAAGCAAAATGATAACATATACGTACGGTCATCTAAGGATGTACCGGAACTGGATGCACGGGTCGAAAAGGGTAATCATCTAAATCCAGTCATGTTTTGATGGGGTGTCTCTTGCGATGGGCTCACTGACTTGCAATTATGCGAAAAAGGGGTAAAAAAAATCGACGGAAGTTTACCCAGAAACCTTTGGAAAGCTATTGGGAAGCCGCTTAACCATTTTCTGCTCCAAAACCAGTCAAGAATTCTGCACCGGCACATAACCTGACTACACAACAATTTAGCAGCATTTCCTGGCCCGCTGGATTACAAATTGTGAACAGTTTTAGAGGACATGCTTTGCTATAAAAGATACCACAACATCGATTATCTTAAACCACCTTTGATTCGTGCAGTAGCCAATTTGCCAATGAGCAAGGTGACTTAACCCTTTGTCTACCGGCCGTGTCCAATGGACCTGAATGAGATTTTATTGTGTTTCCATATAAATGTCTGATGTTTTTTAGCTCCGTATCTCCTTTACTTCGCTTATTCTCATGTAGTCGATACTTTCTCGATCATGTTATATTTTTTATAATTGGTAATACTATTGTAAATATAACGGGAACTACCAGCCCAGGGCCGTTGGACCTACAATATTACTTATATAGCGTTCCTATGGACCAGAACGATGGATAGTGCAACCTTTTTCCGCGGTAGACAAAGGGTTAAGACGTGCGTGAAGGCCAAAGTCGGACATTTCGAATTAATATTTCCTCTTTATATACCTTGTATCAATTAACAAAAAAAAGTGTTCCAAAGGCCTTCATTATTTTTTATTTTATAGCACAAACTGTGTGTAACAGTATTTATGTCCCGACCAAGTATAGATATATGTACAACATACATATCATATGGATTCGGCAACTTATCGTCCTTCTATCTATATACATATACATAGGTGTATGTATCTACCTTCTCGATAGCGTGACGTCTGCTACTGTTTGGTAGCACAGTCGATTATGACGTTGACACAGGCCTTGCAGGCAGCCAAGGAACAATCAGCAAATGGGGATTACTACCCTTTTCCCGCAAGTACATAAGCATGTAGTAACATATATACACATGTATATATGTATACATATTTGTGTATCCATATAAATACATATGTATATAGTAGATTGCTTGTATATGGATTTGTGTTTGTAAAGATACTTGTGCGCCTTTCAGGCAACACACATAAATCCCATCAAAGGCCAATTTGTATTCTCACCTCAGACAAAGTGCAACGCCTCGACTCTCGGCTCAATTGTGCCAGCAACCAGCACAGCAGCTGAACACAACGGAAAACTGACAGACGACAGTCAAACGAAAATTGAACTGAACGACATCGATAACAATGGGCAGATGCCGAAAACAATTGGTTTGACTGTTTAACTGGTGCACTGGTGCGAATCCAGTTCATGCTCGTGAAATTTTCAATTTTTGTTGCTCATTATTTCGCACATATGTACATACATACATACAAACATATTTAGTGCTTTTCCTTCAGCCTTTCAGTACCTTAGTTTACGGCTTACTTCGCTTGTTTTGTCTGGCTCATATTTGCACTTTGTGACATTTTGAAGCCAGCGCGTGGGCTCAAGCAAAATAAACCAAGTCTTAAGAAGTGATCGCAGGCAGTAAAGGATCATCTTTGAGTAGTTCTTACGCTTTGTGTTGGGGGTGTAGCCGTGACTGATGTATGGCAAAAAGACGCACAGCAAGCGACAATTGTTTGAGTATCAATTTGTGGGTTAATTGAAATCCTGTTTGCTAGTAATGAGATACTGGTAAGGCTATACGCTGATGCTAAATGGAATGGAACCCTTTTGAAATGGCTTCTTAGCTGCAACACGCACTTATATACATACATACATACATATAGCAAACATATTTAGTTCAATAGAATAATATATCTCTGCTTATTCCATGCGTAAAAGAAAGCCACTAGTGGTCATTGAAAATGTCGATTAAAAGAAAATTATTTTAAGCATTAATACCTATTTGTTTAATTTTTCGTGAATCTTTACCCATGCGCTTTACTTTAGCATGTTTGTGTATCTGAAAGGCTGCAAATTATTTTATTGCAGAAATTTTACATTTTCTTAATTTTAGTATTACGTTTTATGGTGACCGCATTGAGGCATTGAAGCATGAAATTTACATCATTCGTTTGTAAAAGCAAAACCACATTTTCAGCTGCACTGTGAGAAAAGATATGACTGAACAGATTTATGATTTGATTGTTTATTCAATTTAAGTGCCTTTTGTGTTCTAAAATTTATTAAATTGCGTCATTGCAACGCATTGGTAAGATGTTTTTTCGAAAGGCAGGAACTTCAGTTAGCTGCCGATAAGTAGCAAAACCTGGGTTAGGTTAGGTTAAAGTGGCTGCTTCATCTTCTTAAAGCACCTCATGGAGTCAACAAATGTTACAATGTCCTGATACCCATAGCAGATGCCAGGCGAACTGCTCTGCCATTAAATTTAAGGAGTTCGCTTCCGACAAGTGCCATTCTTAGAGCTTCACTGTTGGACGTAGGCTATCAGCAGCATCTTATATTCCTCCATCTACCTTATTATCAAGCTTGGATCCAGCAATATAGAACCGAATCGGATTGATGTTTGGTAGCCCCCTATGTTACTCTTTACCACAAGTGGGTGTTGTTATGCAGTAGTCCGTGTTGTTCTGTAAGTATTGATTTTCAAGAATATGTAGCAGTATGGCCACCTCTTTGTTCTTGCTTTGTTTTTAGTTCCTATAAGCTTAGGGTTACATTTGCATCGCATTTCATAAGTACAATATATATGTATGAGTACTTATTACGATGTGTGGGTCAAAAAAAAAGCTCAATTTATTCCAAGCGATTTCGAACACTCACTATGACAGTATTTAAGGACGGTACCCTGTGAAATCAGCTAAATCGGGTTGTGTCTATAACATTAAATTCCGATTTATATAAATGATACATCTTGTAAAGGTATGAGGAAAGCCTGCCGTTTACATACTGAACCATGATAAAAAGATCACAAGGTAAAATCATTGAGAAGCAGTCTAACGTTATAACTTTAAATTTAAAGCTCAAGCTCATACCCACATTCTCATTTTTAATCTCAAACAGCAACAATTGTGAACAGTTTAGTTTTTTTTATTTTAAATTTTATATGATTTTAAAATGCTTGCAAATGCCAAAAGGAAATCATTGCCCACGAATTGAGAGAATGATTTTTTACCTTGTTATGTACTATTATCATGTCTCAATAAAAATAACGATTTTGCAGTAATCTTAAAAAAAAATTCTTGGTATTTATTATTTTCGCCCCATGAAACCAAGTTGGTACATATTAAGGGTACTGATTATTCTCCTTTTTTCGAAACCGTTTTTCAAAACCGGAAAAACCGGTTGCCCCTTTTTTAATTAACCGGATAAACCAATTTTATTTTAAATATTTTCTCTGTAGTAACAATTGTTGTTAGTCAGAAAACATGTTCAAAATTACAACATGACTGCTGAAAAAATGGTATATCTAGCTTTAATTCAGAAATCAATAAGGCAAAACTAGTTTGACATATTTTAGATTATAAGTAAACTGAAAAAAGTTAGTGATTAAATTCACACTTAATGGGGGACATGCCACTTATCGAAAATCAATCAACGCCTTCGTCAACTCTCACCTCTCGGAGACCAACGCCACCTGTTACAGATGAAGAGCTCGAGTTGCTTTATGGGGCTCACGATACTTTGACACAACTCCATTCTGGATATTTTAGCAGTTTAAACTGTTCAGTCCAATTTGAAAAAGATGCCCCGAAGACACTAGCCACCTATTCACATGCCCACTTAATATGTGTGTAGTATGTTCATCAGCTCATCTAACATTCCTCTCCCTACGGCCTAAACCAGTCGGACCAGCCGTTAGATGAGAATAAAGACAACATGTAGTCGATTCACTGATTAACATAGGGTTTAGTAACCCTGCAATCCATTTTTACAAAGTGAATTGTAGAGAAAATTTAAAGAATTCGTAATGATCTCATTCGATTTTTTGCCGAATTTTCTAAAATTAAATAAATTGTGCACACTTCGATTCTTTTACGAAACTTCGGAAGAAAGTCGGTAAAGCAATGAAAAAAGTGCTGTTATGCGAAGAATTTCTTGCAGAATTTTTTTTAGAATTATCATTATTTTTCGTAATCTTTGAAAAGGCGGCTACTCTTTTTGAAAAAGCAAAATCTTAATGATCTGACGGCATTGAAAATTAAATAATTTGAGTTCAATTGTTTAACAGGTGGCAACTCTTTTTGAAAAAGCAAACCCTTAATGATCTGATTAAATAATTTGAGTTCAATTGTTGACCAGGTGGCAACTCTTTTCGAAAAAGTAAAACCTTATTGCACATATACAGCCCAAGCCCTTTATTTTGACATCTCGTTTTGCAAATCGAACTAACGGTGAAGATCTGATGACCTGGACAAAAAATCCCTTCGCGTATTATATATGTATATAGATTTTTTCCTTCGTACAACTTTTTTGGAATTTTTTCAAGTGTACAAACTTAAATTTATTCGCATTTTTGTAATATCTCATTTGCTGCATTGAATTTGCTATAAAACTGCACCCAAACATTTTTACATTGGCAATTTGTCCGCGAACGAATATGCGTCGCCATCTAAAAGTCTTCCTGGTATTCGTACTGTTGGTCACATTTGTGACTGCGAAGAAGAAGGAAGAGAAGGAGGAATCCTCTGAGGAAAAGGAGGAGGAGGGCGAAAAATATCACAAAGAGGAACATAAGGAGAAGAAGCATAAGGGTGATAAAGGACACAAGGAGCACAAGGAATGGGAGGAGGATGAAAAAAAGCACCACGAGGAGGAGGACCATGAACATAAATATGGCAATAAAGGTGGCAAAAAGAAGAAGTATTATGATGAGGAGGAAGAGTTTGGCGAGAAAAAAGAACATGGCGAGCACAAAAAAGGGGGCAAACATCATCACAAAAAGAAGCACAAAAAGGGGCACAAGGAATTAGAATATCATAAAAAATTCAATAAGGATGAGTATAAGAAGGAAAAGAAATTCTACGATGATGAACATAAAGCAGGACACCACAAAAAATACGGTAAAGATCATAAACATGAGGCAGAGGAGGAGGGTGGCCACAAGAAGGGCGAACACTATGAAGCGGGCAAGAAGAAAGGTCACAAGAAGCACAAAGAACACTACCAAAAAGGACACAAGGATGAAGATGAGAAAAAGTATAAAAAGAAGCATAAACATGGGGAGCACCATGAAGAGCATGAGGAGTATGGTAAAAAAGGAGAGAAGAAGAAAAAGCACAAGGAGGGTTCCAAGAAGGAAAGTAAGAAGGAGAAGGAGAAAAAGAGCAAAAAGGAGGAGGAAAGTAAGAATTGAGCTGCATTCGCGTATATTTTATATTTAAATATTTTTATGCAAATCAACATATTTATCTATGTTTTAAAGTATGTGTGTGGCTTATAAAAACTGTGATCAAAGCAATTAGAAGTGTAAAACTTTCCCGTTTTGTCTGCTTGCATCTCAGATACATATGTATGTATGTAATAAAATACTACCAGAAAGTGAAAAAGTGTTGCTTCTTTAAATTTAGCTGTATATGGTTATTCATCTTGCGAGGCACTAAAAAATTTTGTTTTTTTCTAAATAGCGTAGAGCATCTTATTCGAATTGGCCTCTATTTTTCTTCGAGCAGCGGTGAAGCCGGTTTGGCCCCACTCATCGATTGCAGTACGCACCAGATGCGTTGAGAAATTTTCCATAGCACGGCCGCTGGCGGGCTTCAAAAACTCAAACCATAGTTTATAGTCCAGTAGTCGGAGGTCTGGGTTGCAGATGATCAATTAGCCATGGCAAAGAAGCTCGGAAATGATTTTGTAACCACATTTGTATGGATCCTTGTGGATCTCTGCTGTAGAGAAACACGCAACACAAAAAGCCAACTTGAGGTATGTGAGTAAGTAATGAGCGATTGCGAAAGAATAAAAAATACGTCTTCTAAAAAGGTATAGAAAGATGTGAGCTCGCAAAACTTGAGGTGTTGCTTAAGCCAGGAATGCAGCTCGAAAGTAATTTTAGGAAATCAATAGACATACTTTCGGTGTGAGAGGCGAAGTCGTTCCTGAACCAACTTCTTTGATATTTTTATGTTGGCTACAAACCTTGCAAATCCATCATTGACCAGATACGTCAAATCTTGGAAAGGACGTGGGATAAACACACAGACCAACCCACCTTTTTGTCGCTTTCGTGTATTGGCATCGTCGGCCTCAACACCAAAGCCGTAAGCGCTGCGTTTTCCACCTTGAAGAAAGAGACAAATAAGGTTGGTCTAGCAGCGAACGAAAACAAAACAAAGTACATCCATGCAGCACACAAAGAGCCTTGCCATATTACGCACTTTGGCAGCTACAATTTTGATGTATCAACATAACTTTTCAAGAATAAGTTTTGCGAATAGGTGCTCTTTGGCAATTCTATTTCAAATAATTTTTTCTTCGAACAAAAATTACGCGCTACAAATCTTTCTTCATGCGTGTCCTTTTATGAGGTGCGGAAACGTAGACGATATCGAAAAAACTATTGTGCACAGGATACTTGGCCTTGGTCATACGCATGACGATGAAGCTGCCATGAAAATTTTCATCTCAGCAGAAATCTCAAACTGCAAAGCTTGTTCAAAAGGTTATATATCGCTCATTTACTTCATTAGTGTCATATTCCAAAAATTACAAATATTGAGTTAAATACGCAGAAATTACCGCTACTTCTACTTCTAATGTGTGTATGTATTGTTTAGAAATCAAAAAAAAAATAATCAAAATAAAATTTGTGTTTAAAGGACAGATACATTTTAAGCCCTACTAGAGAAATCGGCAGTTTACAGAATTCGAAATAAGTTGTTTTGCAAAATAACATAAGTGCACATGTATGTGTGTATGCAAGTGTGCTTAAATATATGCATTAGGGATGTTAATTTTTTTTGCTTTTTACGATCCCGGGATTTTTGGGCTCTCATTAGCACAATCCCGGGATCTGGGGATTTAGATATTCATTCTTTTTCAATAACTTAAATCGTAAAAATTCTTTAGAATTAAAAAAAAATTAAATATTTTAGATTCCCAAGCACGAATAGGTAATTTTTTGAGCTGACAAAGTTAGAAGGGCGAAATTCGAGGATGCTATCGAGTTTCTATAAGTCCTTAACATACATATATTTTTTTTTTTAAATAAATATTGCCAAATTTCAAGCATATTCAAGGATAAAATTTTGAACGGACATTTTCAATACTTAAACGTTCTTATACACAAAAAAAATTAATCTGTTTAAATTTTACAGAATTTTCTCTTTAATTTGGTAGCCACACTTTTTCTCTACGCACATTTCACAGAATTTTTTAAATCAGTTTTGAATTACTCATGCCAGAATGATAAACTAAAAACGCAATTTTACTATATTTGGCCCCTGGTTTCGCGAATATATTGATTTTTGTGTGTGTAAAATTGACTATCGCACGGTGTTATATGTATATATAATGAGCTAAACATTTACAGAAAAATATTAATTATTAAATAAGAAAAAGAAATATAGCCAACACTGGTCAACAAAATGAGTTTCTATTATTGCCACCAGAGCAAATTACAAATCCCGAAATTCCCGGGTTTAACATTCCTAATATGCGTATGTGCAATGCGGATATTTTCATGTAAATAACGAGACAAACAATAAAATCGATCTTCGTAATGATGTCAACAAAGATTTGGTAATGTTGCACAACTACAAAGAACCAATCATTGATGCAGACTTAATGTGATTGCAACCATGTGCACGTTCGAATGCATTCTTTTGCGCATACATACACATGTACTTATAAACATATCCACATACGTAAATACACTGAAATGCGCCCAACAAATTAAAGTACATCCTGCTTTCGGACTCCATTAAAACATCCCTCTTATTAGCAAAAACATGTAAAATGTAAGTATATACATACATATGTATAAGTAAGTAAATGCACATTAGGGCGGGTCAATTTTCTTTCTTTTTGGCTATTTTCTATATAAATTCTAAGCAAATTTGCCGACGAAACCATGCGTCTAAATTTAATTTCGAGCTTGCTCAAGCCTGGTTTTCACTAAGTCAAATTCAGTGTCGTCAAATAAGTGAAAACACATTGTCAAATGGAATCAAAAAGCGGTTTATCGATTGATTTGGAACAGGATAGGTCTTTAGTCGCGTACATGCGCTGCGAAATCGGCTATCTATCAGTTTTTGGCCCATAATATCTTCGGCAAAGGTATGGATAAAGGAGATAAGGTTGTTTCAAAATATGTCGCCTAATTTTGGCGTCAAAATCTGACATAGTGAAAACCAGTCTTAAGCTGATACTAGTAGTTTTTTCCTTAGCATCTCAGCAGGCAATGGCAATCCTTCGAGTGCATTTATGCCATGAAAAACAGCTTCTCACAAACATAAAATCGCCGTTCGCAGTCGGCTTAAAACTGTAGGTCCCTCCCCTTTGTGTGAAAACATCATGGCGCACGCCACAAACCGGAGGAGAAGCTCGGCCAAACACTAACATATGTGTAAGTGGCAATCTATTATTATTATTAATTATTTAAATGGAAATGTGTAAGAAAATTCTATTTCTTATATATAAAGTTTAAGCCAAAAGCCGTCAATGGTTTAGAACCACTGGTAAGCTTCCGGCACCACTGTTCGCTACAAAGCTACACCACTGCGGCAAAATTACCGGTGTGCTTCTTTCGAAGATCAAGATTATTAAATGCTATATTCGGTTTGAACTGCTCTCCTTTTGATGACAGCAGCATCGTACATACAGCGGTCACCATTTTAGGTAACACTAGAGTGCCAGTTACTGTCGAAATTCGACAGTTTTTCTAGTTTTAGAAGCCTTGGAGAGGTTTACTAACTTAGCACGTAGCAATTTTTTTTCATCTGAGAAGGTCTTTGGAGGACTTCGGCAGGACTTCGAATTGACCCGATACATTCAAGTTTATCGATAAATTTCAATGATTTGATGCATATCGCAAGTTCGATGAATTTCAAGAACACTAAAATTCGATAACTCAACAACAAAATTCGTTAACTCGACCAATTTCGATAACTGTAAAATTCGACGGCTCGATAAATTTCGATAACTCAAAAATGTAAAAACTTTGNCAAAATTCGTTAACTCGACCAATTTCGATAACTGTAAAATTCGACGGCTCGATAAATTTCGATAACTCAAAAATGTAAAAACTTT